TTAGAGGTAGTATTTCTGTTTTTAATGTTTTAGCCTTCGTGGTCATAGCTATACTGGTGGCGGTTGTAATTATTAATAACAACTTAATTGATTGTATTTGGCAGTTTAGTATGAACTTGTGACTGCTGAATCGACCATTCTACATCTCACTAGATCGGGGAGATGGAGGAGATTCTTCAGGTGCATCGATGTCTTCTTTTTCCAAATGATTTCTACGTCCAAAACAATACACTTCTTGCGCGAGAGTTACCGATTGCATTTTCACGATGTTTATTGCAGAGAGTTTGGAGGTCGACGAAAAATGATGGGAAAAACGACGATTCATAATTAACAGACGCCGAAAACTACGGACTTTAAAGTTTACATTGCACTCTCTCTTTATCATTATTTTTTCCATCACCATTAAAGTTCGCAAAGTTTTTTCACAATACCTTCACTTCCATCAATGTCTATCGTCTCGCCTTCATTTTCCTGTGATTGTCCTTCATGTTCAGCTACGAGCAACGTAAACGAGATTATTTCGTATTTCTGTTTTTCAAAATGATTAATATCTTTAAGAGGTTTCTTTTTCAATTGTCTTAAATAGTGATTTTATCCTTGTCCTATCGCCTCAAAAATTTTACCAGTGATTGACTATGAATTAAAGTTTGTCTATAAATTCAGTTTTTATTAAAACCGATATCACTACGACAACAATAAACAAAAACCTTTAAAAGCCATTAAATCCGATTTCATCAGTGGAGTATCATCTTGCTCTGTTTTTTTTTTTTTTTTTGTTATATTGTGCTTTTCTTTTTACCCCCTGAAACGGATAAAACGTCTGCCACTTCTACTGTTTTACAACCCAACCCCTCCCAAATCTTCTCAGTTGCCGTCTTTTTCGAAGGGATTACCCTGCACCATTGTCGTCATTTTTTCGGATATAAAGTTGTGTCAATCAGAAAAGGAGAAATATTTTTTAATGAATGCTAATAACCAGCTCGGCTATAAGACACAAACCTTTCTCTCATCCAAAACTAACCTGAATTTCCAGTATTCCCGTTCACTTCGGAAGGATTTTTGGAGGCCTGCTTTCCAGATTGTTCTATCAATAAATAGGATGGCAGGGGGATCAATATTAGTAAAAACTTGTTAGATGTCCTTTTTTTTACAAACTATATATTTATGTATCTTCCGAATTTTGTACGGCCGATACCGGACATTAATGGGCAAAATCTGTACCAGTTTCAGACCAAAAAGGCGCAAAAAAACTTCACAGGGCGGCACATACCTATATGGCCGTATATAAGGAAGTATCCCCCTCCCGTTATAGTACACTACATGGAAACCCCTCAGACAGTGCACACATTAATTTCAGCTAGACCCATATTAAGTGGCCAGATTGCCCACTTTTTTATTCGCTCAAATTTGCTTTTACAGTTGTGTAACAAAGATTATTACCTTCATCTAACTTTGAAAGAACGTCAACATCAAAAAAAGACCTTGAAAAATGGGAGGCGTTCCTCTTCCCATTTGCGAAGGTTGCCTGTTTCCCATTGCAACCTTTCAGTGAATGGAATATGCAATTTCGAATGGCTGCACCAGTCACTGTAGTCATTTGGGGCTGGTTCTTGGCAATGTAAGCTGCTAGGTCGTTGGACGAAACAGCTATAGACTCTCCACAAGAACAACCAGACGGCTTTATCTTCGGTATGATGAACGTTCCACATAACTGAAATTAATTAAATACAGGGAATAAAATATCAGTCGCCCACGTCTATATCTTCTTTACCGTTTTTGTGACTGGTGAACATATGTCTATAATTGTAATTTACACAATGGAAAAAACTTTTCTCTCACAGCCAATAACGTTGCTCTTTTTTTTCACTGAGCCCTTTTTTGTTTAAGTTAAGTCTTCACTAGAACTGGCTTGCTAAAAAATGAAATTGCCTATGCATTGTAATGATGGTCAAATATGTTGAATTACTACAATTACCGTTACGTGTTTTTCTACCACCAAGAGTTTCGACTCCGAACTCCCTTATCAACTTACTAAGAATAAAACTAAGAATAAAAAAAAAAACATCTTAACTTAAGGAAAAGAGCAATCCCTTTATTAAAAATATTTGACAGTAATTGACAAGCTTTAAGCGTCCCTATTACCTTTCGTACTTCTCCTCGGGACACCATTTGCTTTATGGCATCTTTGATAGCAAGCCCCACTTCTTCTGTTTTGGCAACGGACCCGCCAGCACCTTTGGTCTTCGTTCTCGATGTAGACTTATCCCTCGTAGAAGAATATCCCGGCAGTACCACATTCTTGAGGCACTGCCACACAGTTGTCATTTCCTCTTCCAATTTGATTTTTTGGAGAATCTGACAAAGAAAATGTACATTATTCAAGTAACACGTGCAAGGTGTTAAACCACGAATCGTTGCAGTTAATCAGAAATCGAAGTTTTGCTTAACAGCTACCCAGTGAGCAGGCTCACTTGTGTAAATTCGGCGATATAGGGAGAGTTGTGAACGAGCGCATCCGATTATTAGCACTTTTCGATTGTTTAGAATATTTATTACCATGGCAATGAAGACAAATTAGCTTCAATTTACTTTAAAGGTATGTCTTGACAAGGTTGACTTAAGAGCTATTAGATAGTGTTGAAATACATCGGGATCCAGCTAGACTAGAAAAGGACGCTTTTAAGATGATGGAAAACTACAATACCCTGTACGTCTCGCCCCAAAAAGTTAATTACAACTAGAGATACAATCTTTCTTTCGCTCGTTTTTTCCAATAAAGGTCAAAACTCTATATTGAACTTGACATTAAAATTTACACTTTCACTCGTCAAAACCTCAACCTGTGAACACAGGTGTTTCCTTGCTTCTCGCCGCTAGGGGTGTTTCGAGACGTCCCTAGCGGCGAGGAGCAAAGAAGGACATCTGTATTCGCAGGCTAGTCAAAACCATTTGAACAACTTGTCTTCTGTATCTGGTTTGGTGCTCCTTGACAGGAAATATCATTAAAACCGCTTTAGACTATATTGTTTGAATTATCTAAATATCGTCCCAAAATTACCTTTGAACAAGACAACATCAGAATGGAGTACATATCCAATGCTCGTTGATCCACACAGCAGTTTTCTGGACCCTCTTGGTCTATGTACTCTTCTAAGGTTTTCGTGATCTGGTCAAACTCTTCATCGTCCAAAGCACCCTCGAATTCTTTGTTTAGATAGGCCGTTAACACCCATATGCTACGAGATGACTTTGCTGTGGCCTCCATTAGTTTCTTTTCTTTTCCTCGCAACTCCTTGCCGCTGTACGATGGCGAAGGGCGTTCAAATGGAATTCGTATCCATCTTGAAAGTACTCTGTTGAAACACCACAAAGAAGCTGTTAGTGCACTCTAGCAAAGTGTACACAAGTAAGCAACGCCATATATTCCGGCAATCAACTAACAATGTGCCTTAAAATATATTTATATACCCTTTAACTGTACTGTCCTTGTATGTAATTGATCCCCGTGAAAATCTATCCATAAGCAGATCGAAATCGCTTTTTTTAAAATCATCGGATTGTTTGCCCGCATATCAAGGGTTTGCTATGTTGGAAATTACACTTTCGCACTAAGTATCCTCAAAACCGGAAGAGTCGCTCTCTCTTTTCGGCATTCTTTTATTTTAGAGTACTTATTATTGTTACTTACTTCAGCTCGTTTGTGTCTTGATTCGTAGTTATTATTGGGATAACGAAAAACAGAGCATGCGTATTCAGTAACAGGCAATAATAGCAAAATTAAAGTTTTAACATGTCTGAGCTAACAGTTTTTTCGGGTAACAAGGGACTAGCGTTGTCAAAATCCTTGAATATTTCAATTTGGGAATCTAAAAAAATATAACACGTGAGAAAACGCGAAAATTAAAGTTTAAAAACAACGAACCTTCATTGAAACACAGAAACACACCAAACGGATCGAAATCCACCAATTTAAAAACCTTGAACCATGACCTTTTGAACCCCTTGAAGTAAACTTCTGTTGTCTATGAGATCAGGTGCAGAAAGGGCACAGACTTCAGATTATTATTGGTAATGACAAAAAAGCGGATATTTTTAAATAATTTTCTAACATTTGAAATTATGTAAAAATGAAATAATCAATATGTCACTAGCGTGGAACAAAGACAACATCTGAGTCCCCAACAAGATGCATAGATATATGACCTCCCATACACAAGGCTGGCGCTCTCTATCCACTTTGAATTTTTGAGAACTCATGAAGATCAAGGCCATATACTATACATTAAATATATCTTTTTTTTAGCCGATATTGGCGTTTCGAAAACATCCATTTTTCCGCACGTTGCAGAACTATCAATTCCTGTACTGACTGGAAGTGACTCGCTGAAAACATAAATAAATGCGTGGAGAGGATGGCTGTGAGGGGAGGGTTAAGTCCACCACCAGGACCAATGAATCAAATACACTATTGTCACAGTATTGTCAAACATACACCTCCATAGATTCTATTAATAAATTGATTATTCAGTTGAAAAATGAGTGCCTTAGTCGTTCCCTCTTATACTGTTAAATTCAAATCGGCATTCGTACATGCGTAAAGAACAGTAATTATTTCAAGAAAACATCCATTCAGAACCTCTTTATTTAAAAAGATTTATAACAATTTTAAAGGCATAAATTATATCTAAAAATTCAGGACAACTAAGCCGGCAAAAATTTAATGACTGACTCGCCGTAAATTCACAGTATGCAAGATTGCAAAAATAAATCTGAAATCTGAAAATAGGATTTCCTATAGTCTCAAGCTAGCAAAATACCGTAAAATTCAGAAAAGAAGACCCTCAATTTATAAACCCATCCTATTTTTAATGGCATTACATGGTAATGCATGGCAATACATGGAAGTACATGGGGATACATGGCAATACATGGTAATAGATGGCGATACATGGCAGTAATTGGCTATACATGGCAATACATGGCTATATACATGGCAGTACATGGTTATAAATGGCAATACATGGCAATACATGGCTATACATGGTAATACATGGCAATACATGGTAATACATAGTAATACATGGCAATACATGGCATTAAACAACTATGCATGTCATTACATGGCTATACATGGCAATACATAGTAATACATGGAATCACATGGCTGTACATGGCAATACATGGCTATACATAGTAATACATGGCAATACATGGTAATACATAGTAAAACATGACAATACATGGCTAGACAACAGTAAATGGTAATACATGGCTATACATGGGTATACATGGCAATACATGGCTATACATGGCAATACATGGCTATATATGGCTATACATGGTAATGGTGATACATGGTAATACATGGCTATACATGGCTATACATGACATTACATCGCTATACATGGCTATACATGGTGATACATGGTGATACATAATAATGCATGGTAATACATGGCAATACATGGTGATACATGGTAATACATAGCTATACATGGCTATACATGGTAATACATGGCTGTACAAGGTAATACATGGCTATACATGGCTATACATGGGTACAGTACTTACCCGCTTATAAGAACCTATTTTTCCAGATTTAGCCTAAACGGGTTCTTATGTAAATGGTGTTTAGTGGAATTTTAGGCTACAGAGGGTCTTAAATAGGTTCTTATATAATGAGAAATATATTATACATTGTTTAGTCCAAATTTTATTTTGATTTATTTTTGCGTTCACCTCCTTTTTGGACACTACGTGACTACTTACATCATGTTAGTTTCGGATGGTCACATGACCACAGCAAAAACAGATCACCACGTGTTTTCAAGTGTAGTGTTATAGAGCAAATGTTTTGAATTTCTCATCGATTTGCATCGCACAGAATGTAAGTAGTTTTCGCTCTTTAGTGTCGCTTTAGGTTTATTTTGGTTTTCTTTAGGTTTATTTGTCATTTTTGCTTATTTTATGTTCAGTTTTCACCGTTCATGACCAGTGATCACCGATCGAACCAAGCACGAAAGAAACTTGGCGATTAAAGACAGATTAATAGTCCAATCAACGCGTCGAAATTTCTGTGTCGACCCCAACATTGTGAAAAATTCTGCAAAGTACGAAGAGAAAACTGTGTTTTCACCTGGATTTTCGAGAAAACGAACGCTCAGAACCGACCGAACGGAATCGCAGGAATCTCTGGACTGGACCGCGATAGTGGATCGCGGAATGGACCCTGAGGACTCAGCGAGAGGAGCAGTTGGATACTCCCCACGCCAGGACCCGTACCAAATACTCAAATTGATTTTAGTGAACTCGTGCATCAACGCGAAATAAGCGAACAACGCAGACTTGCATCTTTGTGGAACAAGGAATCTAAAGAAGTTGCCTTTGAAACACAGCAGCTCCAAACTCTCCTCTACACTAATTGGGAGCACTTGTCCGCCCGAAAAAATAGTAGATCATTTAGCTATCATTTGAAATCCTTTGAGACTGTACACTCGAAGTACCTGCCAGGCATACGTGACAGCAAACGACTACAAGAAGTACAGCAAAGGTTCAAGTCCCTCAAAGAACAGATGATGTTTACAATAGAAGAATGCGAAACGCAAAATACGGACTGATCAAGAAACACAAGAACGTGATGATGAACGCTCCATTAAAAGTCACAAGTCGCACCAGTCTCAGAGCTCCACTACTTCAAGATCCTCTTCGTCGTCCCGGAAAGAAAGGTTTAGAGCCATGCTTTTAGCAAAAAAGAAATTGGAGTTAGCGAAGAGTAGGGCACAAGAGGAAGCTGAGTTGGCGAAGAGTAAGGCTCAACAAGAAGCCGAATTGGTCAAAGCAGAGCATGAGCGGAGCGCCAAGAAGGAATTGAGACTACTCGAGGACGAAGCCGTTCTAGCTGAACTGGATTGGAAGATTGAAAATGAGTTCGACGAGGAAACTGGTGTTGTTAATGGTGTGGACAATATTGTTCAGACAACCTATCCCATTGAGGAGAAACCACTGGGACAGTCACCTCAAATTCAACTTGATGATTCAGAACCCCGAACACCAAAAATCCCAGCACCGACACCCAAACCTTCACTGCCTCTTATACCTGTCAGTTGCTCCACCCCCCAAGACACAGCACCTGGTTCGTGCAAGGAAAAGCCAGCCACTGAGGTCAAATCCAATATTGCCGATACTGCAAACAAGGGAGCACTGCCAGTCACTGAATGCCAGCAGCCACCATACCAAGCCCCACGAACCTTCCAGTATAGACCTAAGTCTCAGCCAGAAGACAAAGTAATAGAGCAAGCCCCTAAAGACCATGTAGCAGCCATGTGGAAGGTACAGCTTCTGAACGGAATCTCTCCTACACCCTTTAATGGCAACCCAGCAGACTTCCCGTTCTTCAAAGAACAAGCACATACTCACCTTGAAAGTGAGCTACTAACTGATGCGCAGCGGGTAGAGTACTTACCGAAGTTCCTGAAAGGAGAAGCCTTGGAGGTCATCAAAAGAAACCGAGGCTCCTCCTATAGTGAGCTAATGAAGATCTTAGAGGAACGCTTTGGTCGCCCTATTCAGGTGACGCAAGCCTGCATCGAAGAGTTAGTCTCAGGCCCCAAACTTGCCTATGGTGACAACATGGGTCTGCTTAATTTTGCCGAGAAGCTGAACACTTCAACCAAGGTTCTGAAGGGAGATGTGGAACGCGAAGCAAGCGTAGCTACCAATTTAAGAAGAATCGTAAACAGACTCCCAAATGATTTAATCACCAAGTGGCAGACCGAAAACTACGAGATTGTTAGCCGTGGTGGAACTGCACGACTAAAGGACATTGCAAAATTCGTGAAAAGGCAAGCGTCAATAAGGAATGACCCAGTGTTTGGAATGCAGCCGCAAAGGGAGAAAACAGGACAAACAAGTCCCCCCAAAGCTTCTAAAGGATCGGACCTGCCCACTAAAAAACGCGCCACGATCAACGCCACATCGCTTAAGAACGCCCCCAAGAAAGAGAACTCTGCAAACTGTGCAATTTGCAAGTCTACTCCCCACCGACTCCAGGAGTGCCCAATCGTCAAACAGTGTGACCGTGTAGCCGTGCGTCGACAATATGCAGCATCGTATGGGTTCTGCTTTAACTGTGGTTGCCATAATCCCGATCACAGTGGTACTTCCTGTCCTGAGCCAGCAGCTTGTTCTCTGTGTCCTGGACACCACTTACCAATACTGCATAGGGACAACAACAATGGACGCAGAACTCCTGGAAACAAGAACACTCATAACCCCACTAACCGATACAGTACTCCGACTGCTGACCCAATAACCCGGCAACCACAAATGGAGCAAGGCACAAGACAGCCGCCCAGCGACAGGCCACAGACTTCGATTACATCTGCGGTGTCAGCACCACAAGAGCCCAAGTTTTGTTAAATGTAGTTCCTGTAACCATTACTGCAGAGAACGGTGGTTCCCTTTCTACATATGCATTTCTTGACAATGGGTGTACCGATACCCTCATTGACAAAGAGCTTGCTGATCATCTTGACCTGAAAGGGATCTCGAGCAAATCGGGATTAAGACTATTACGAACAGTGAGGAGCTGGTGGAGAGTCGACGCGTTTCCTTTACTCTCAGTCCTGTAGAAGCATATGGTGAAGACATTGATGTTAATGAAGCTTACGTTCTCCTGACCTGAATCAATCAGAACGAGTTTTGCGGGGACAGTAGATGTCCATAAGTATCCGCACCTTCAAGACCTTACATTCCCAGTGGTGGACTTTAAACGAGTCTCGATCATTGTGGGGAGTAACGTCCCTGTTGCACACTTGCAGAAGGAAGTCAGAATCGAAAGACAACAAGAGCGGCCTCTCACGGTTATCGGTACCCTCTCGGTTGGAGCATTTCAGGTCCATTGACTATCGCTGGGACAAGAAGAGCTGAGCTCAATTTCATCTCTGTTGGACACAAACCTGACGACTTTGTTGAAAGGTTTTGGAAGATCGAAGACTATGGAACATTGAAAGCAGGAGAGAAGCCCTTATCTGTGGAAGACAAACGAGCCCTAAAAATCATTGAAGAAACTACTACCTTTGTAGACGGGCATTATGAAGTTGGCCTACTATGGAAGGAAGATCAGCCAAAGCTGCCAAACAATCGCATTTTAGCTGAAAGACGAGCAGAATTGCTTAGACGACGCCTGACCAAAGCAGGAAATGAGCAAATGGCTGCTAAGTACCGTGGAGTCATGACTGAGTACATCTCGAAGGGCTATGCACGCAAATTGTCCCCTGAAGAAGCAGCTAGAGAAAGCTCGATAACTTGGTACTTGCCTCATCATCCAGTGACCAATCCCAACAAACCTGACAAGCTCCGTATCGTCTTGATGCCGCATCTGAGTATGAAGGAACATCTTTAAACAAGAATCTCGTTCAAGGGCCAGACATGACAAACAGTCTCGTTGGTGTGCTGCTACGATTTCGACAGGGGCATGTAGGGGTAGCTGCTGATGTCGAGGCAATGTTTCATCAAGTGCGTGTGCGTAAACAAGATCAAGAAGCTCTACGATTCCTCTGGTGGACAGATGATTACGACAAACCCCGGATGTCTATGTTATGGAAGTACACATATTTGGAGCAACCTCGTCCCCTTGCGTTGCAAATTCGGCCCTGAGAAGAACAGCCAGTGACAATGCTGAAAGGTTCAACCCGCAAGTTGTTGCAACTGTTGACAGGAACTTTTATGTTGACGATGCTCTGCCATCCTTCAGTGAGGAGAATGCAGCATCTACTGTAGCATCGGACCTAGTGAAAATCCTGAATCACGGTGGCTTCAACCTTACAAAATTCATGACGAACAGTAAGAATGTTTTGGCAACCATTCCCACCGAGAAAAGAGCCTCACCAGATCTGAATCTTGACTTAGACGAACTGCCAGTGGAAAGGGCGCTTAGGGATTCGCTGGTTTGCTGAAACAGATGAGCTTGGATTTGACATCAAGAACTTGAATCGACCCGAAACAAAGCGTGGAGTACTGTCCGCCGTTTGTTCCCTGTATGACCCTCTTGGGTTTGCTGCGCCTGTGGCCCTTACTGCCAGAGTAATTATCCAGGATATGTGGAAGGCTAAGGTAGACTGGGACCAGCCACTCGAAGAAAACTTCTTAGCCAGATGGAAGTCTTGGACCTCACAGCTGTCATCCCTCTCTGCACCGCGCATCCCACGTTGCTACTTGCCAGCTGGAACAGATGCTTCCAAATGCAAACTACAGCTGCATATCTTCTCTGATGCCTCTGAAATTGGCTACGGTGCATCTGCGTATCTAAGAGTCGAGAATCCAGATGGGTCTATTCACTGCTCGTTTGTTGTGGGGAAAGCAAGAAATGCACCTGTCAAGTTCACAAGCATTCAAGGCTTGAACTCCAAGCTGCTGTTCTGTCTACACGCT